GAATTTGGTGCATCGCTCTTGAAATTCCTGCTCGGGTTCCTCGTATTCTCTGTCTGAGGAGCCGAAGAGGCGTTCTCGATTCAAAAGTAAGCAAGAAGTGACGAGTGGCACAGGATAGCCCTGAAGATAGCCCAGTTGGCGAGCCAGGAAGTGGGGATGGTAGATTTCCCAGCTAGCTCGTCGAGCATCGAAACCAAAAGGAAGGTCACGATCTAGGGTAAATGACCCCCAAGCCTGTTGAAGGTCGGCCTTCTCTGCTTCTAGTTGAAGACCCATTGCTTCAGAAGAATCAAAGGTTGTGATTTCTGGCCTTAGCATGGAGAATTAGACATGCAACCAGAGTTGAAAGACCCATAGTGGGCCGTTCTGGTACGGATCGATTTTCCCAATGGAGGCCTAGGCTAAGCATCGAGTGAGGTTGGCGAGAATGGTTGGGCTGAGGGCTAGGATATGGCTGCTGGCCAGAGCTTCGGCCACTGGCATATTCTTAGCCAAACACTTGTTCAACTTGGTACAAAACATGAATTTATTGTGCCAATAGAATAAGAAGGCATCGTGCTCTCATTTCTTAAGAGTTTTTTCCCTCATAGCTTACAAAGTGGTTGATTAAGGTATTTTAGTTGAAGAAGTTTTTGTGCAGTTTGTGCACATCTTCTTTCAACGATTATTGATCTTTCTTCATCAACACTTCAATGGCACGCTCGTCGAAAACGGCTTTCAGATCCAAGTCAAATTCATACCAAGAAAGAGCAGTATCAATTGGGATACCGGAGGGAGAAGTGCCGAGTATGGCTATATATATAGCACGATCGGATCGATAGGGCCAAGAGGAAGAACCATTGTTTGGTGGCCGAACACCAAAAGCTCAAGGCGGCCATCAAGAGCTATCGGTCAATGTAGATCTCACAGGTCGAAAGCTTGATAGCGTCGAAGATGCCGAGGGCCTACCACTCGTCACCACAGTATGGCTCCATTTGGGTGACCTTAGCAGCCTAGGTTGCGGGGTTAAGGGCCAGGCTCTTTGGGGTTTGGTCGATTCCCACTTTAACCAATCATACCCTTAGAATAAGGGTTTTAGGTAATAGGCCTTCAACATCTTGGTGATGGTTTTTGGGACGTCGTCCTTGAAGAGAGATCCTAGAATCTGGTGGAAGGCGCTTTAATCACCCTCGAATCGGAGGGTTTTTGATGGCGTTCCAATCAATGAAGTCTTGGCATTTGTCACATTCTTTGGTGAGCTTGGTAATAAAGGTATTGGCAGCCATTGATGAAGGTTTGAAGGTTTTATCGGTTTCAAAGTTTGGTTTCTTTTTATAGGTTGAGAGCAAATGGCAACAATTTTTGAAAGTGTGAAAATCCAAATGAAGCTGGATAGAGTATTTATAGGCGACTAGGGGAGAATATCAATGGTTTAGTTTTAGAAGATGAAGAGGCCGAAAATCCAGATTAAGAGGTCGAAAAGCATGCGAATTGAGGGTGCACGATTAAGTGTGACGGAGAAAGTTATGACGAAGAGACATTTCGGCATCTGCACGCCTTGAACGTGGGGGAACACATCATCGAAGATGGATAGTCATGATAAGGAGTTGTCACGTGTCAAGTTTTGCAGTGTTTTGAGATAACTGACAGAGGTGAAACGTCGTGCCTAGTAAATTCATCTAGGTGGTTGGTGTTTTCGAGGCTTGCAATGTTCTCTGGTTGCTCTAGAAGGAATATGTTAAGGGTTCATTCTTTGGCAATGAATCACTTCTTCAAGGTTGAGGCTTGGCCAGGAATTGAAAGCCGAAGACCTCAGAAGCGAAGGGGCAATGTTTGGGCCAAAAATAATATTTTGGGCCAAACTTAGAGTTGTTCTCGGCCCATTAACATTCATCTAGAATCTTGTCATGGGCTATCCAGTCAAGGTAGGCCGAATCCTATTATGTGAAAGATTGGTTTAGATAAGGGTGAGGTAGTTGAACCCTAGTGCAACAAGGAGTCATAAAGTTGAAGATGCTTAGAATTAGGGAATGAATCTGGTTCGTTAAAGAGCTTGGTTCAAAGTCCTATAAGGGTTATGATTGGCCGAAACTTGATCAAATTAGGGTAATGAGTTCTAATCCGAGTACATTTCTAGTTCAGATATGAAGGAGGTTCGCTACTATAAATAGAGAAGGGAGTGCATCATTCAAGGCCCCCTTCAAATCAACACACAAATTGCCCTGCGCAAAGCTTCTCAACAACCTTGAGATTTTTTCCTCTTCCCCTTTATTCTCGCCAACACATCTTTAGTTTGGATAGACAACACTATGAAAGCAACCGGCGACATCTTTAGTTTGGATAGACAGCACTGGAGCCATAGATTCAGCCGACTAAGGAGCACCTTTAATATATATAGACAACATTGCTTCGAGGTCGACTGGTTATTTATCCAAGTCTCGCTCAACAAGGATTTCCGAGTCCTTGTTGGTAGAGGTCATCTCATCAGCCTTCTCGACAAAGTGAGGTGTTACCAGGTTACTAGGGTCGGCACATTGAAAGCCGAGTTTTATGATTAGATATTCGCAAGTACATTTTAGAGTTCGGCATTTTGACAGCTGAACCACATTTACAATCAAGACATTTATCTCTTTCGAGTATTTGTGTTTGTACAGTCTGGTACCAGTTCGACGTACTTATACTTTCACGAATATAATTACCAAGACCGAACCGGTGCCAACAATTTGTGAACTTCGAAGAAACTAGCAGTCTTGTCTTCAGGCTCTAGAACCCGAAGGCTGAGACGTGTTCCTTCCTCGACCGTAGTCGCAAGGTCAAGAAGTCAACAGCGCGCCCAACACCACATCAACATATTTTACTCCCAGGCCGAACTCGGCCGATGAGTTGGCACGCCCCACACACAACCAAAGGACGTAATTAGCTTATTAGTTACTCGGCCTGCGCGCCACGTAGGCTTGGTAGTTTTTAGGGTCAACAGTTTGATCTCACCCAAGACAAATTCAAACCAAATTATTATGGCTGCCCAATTGTGAGGTTTAGCCCACTTCCTCACCTCCTTGGTGTATATACTATCAAATTTGTTTAAAAATTCATTTTATCCAAAATCGGATCATGAAATTCATTATCTATTCTATCCATCGAAATTTCCGTGTTTTTGGACTACCAATATTTCCGATATTATCGATATTTTAGACCTTGATAGGAACTCTATGTGGTACTAAGTCACTTATGTATCTTACCATGCAATGTATAAAGTGTAAAATATTGTACTAATTCATTATATATAAATGATTATGGTGCGTTTAAACTTCTTTCATTAATTACTACATATTTTCTACACTCACAATGTTTGCCAGCTCGCTATATAATCAACTTAAATCCATCAAGCAATGCATTTCCTTCCAATTTTTTATGATAAACTAATAGATAATTGACTAAATAAACATCCTGCAAAGTTTCAATAAAAATTTCCAAGTTTTTCTTACAATTTCCGTGGTTTTTATTCAATTTTTAATGATATCAATAATATCCCGATATTTCCATCGAAATTTCCGTGTTTTTGAACTACCGATATTTCCAATATCATCGATATTTTAGACCTTGATCCTATCTTAGGTGGATGCCATGATGAATTTTTAGGCGTTTTAGGGTCAACTTGGTTTACTATTCGAACAAAATTTGCAAAACTAGGAACCTGATATTTGGATTGTATCATGCCCCCTTTTTTATATTTATAACATTTAGCCGTTTTAGCAGGTAGTGGTGGACATGACATTCCACTTCAATTTGTTGCGTCATGGGTTCAAATCTTCCTCACATTACTTCTCTAGTTTTAGCTTAAAATAGTAATATCGTTTTTAAACAAAACAAAATCTCAGAATTAGTTTTCAATTTTTTTTTTAAATTAGTGATTAGAAATGTCATTGGTACGAACTATATATAAGTCCGCGAGGTCCCACACGTTCAAAGTTTTGATTTATGAAAAAGTTCAGATAAATTTAGTATGAAGATTGCATGTCCAGGGTGTTCATATGAAAACATAGAACACAAATTGAGGATCATATTATTAACAAATAATTTGGTATCATGTTTAAATGTTATTAGATTTTGGATACGGAAAGTACAGATTTAATGTACTGGAAGTGAACGAGACAAGGGATGAGAAATGCATCGACACCGGCTTCATTCAAAACATAACAGCACTAGTAAAAAAAAACACTTTGCGTGACGCAAGTCCTTTGTCGCGCAAAGTCAAAAAAACGTCGCGCAAAAATTAGCGCAACGAACTTTCGTCGCGCACCAACCGTCGCGCCAAGGCAGTGACAGTAGGGTTTGCGCGACGAAGAAGTTACTTGCGTCGCGCAAACCCACTTTGCGCTACGAAGGTAACTTCTTCCTCGCACAAAGTGGGTTTGCACGACACAGGTCCTAGGTCACGCAAACCCACTTTGCACAATGTAGGTAACTTCGCGCAAACCCTTTTTTTTTTTTTTTTTTTTGCAAAAATATTTTTTTTAATTTTTAATAAATATTGTAATTAAATTCTAAACAATAATTAATAACCCAAGAAAAAGTATTTAATTATGAAATATATCATACAAGATGTCCAAACAAAAGAAAAAAACTACAACAAATAGTCTTCTAAGTTTAATACATCAGGCTACTCGGTATCGGCTGGGAAGTGGCTGGGGGTCGAAGGTGGAGCAACATCAGGTGCTGGTATCGGGATTTGGAGGCCAAACATCTATAAGGCTCGTACAATAAAACTTAAATGCAGCTAAAAAGAACAACAGGGGGCCTAATCAAATGTAGAAAACTACACTCATGTATTGCTTATGTTATGTCATTCCTAAGCTGGTTGGAGCCCTTATTCATGTGCTCCATGTTCCAAGAGGGGTCTACTAGAGGAAGTTGGAATTTCTCTGGTTTCAAGGCCAATGCAAAATTGGGCAATGTTGGTGCTGTCTCCATGATTCTCCAGTTGAAATATCCAAAAACACACGTTAATTATTCCCGAGGGTTTGTTCTATGTATCATCAACCAAGAACATTGAGATTGAAATTAGGGATGCCAAGAGTGAAGAGGAGATTGCATTTAGGCATAAACAAAATACTATTGGTAATAGTTCTCTCAGGCAGGACATACTTTTTGTGCGAGTACAGATCACGTTTTATCCGCACTTTGCTTGAAGCATCTTTTGGAATTTTCTCAGATAGATACTTCATGGTTCCCCAGAGCGGTGAATTTCTACATAATGTGTATAAAAAAGCACTTAACCATTAAAAGAAGAAAGATTGACAAGAAGAAGAAAACTGATCAGCTAATGGACATTTCAATCATGAAACATCCAATGCTACATACGAGACGGTAGATCTTCACAACACGACACACAAATTTCAAGAAGGGCCTGTAGAATAATCTTTGCTAATATCTAGAGATTGGACTAGACTCTAGAGTAGATAATTTAGGAGACAGTTTTCTTAAGAAGATTTCTCGTAGAAACTGAACTCCATCTTAATGGCCTAAGGTTGCAAATCTCATACTAAAGACAATTTTATGTTCGTTCCTTGTACGTGTTTGTGTTTGACGTTCTTGGAGATAAGGAGAGAGGATAAAGATATTGCAGCTACAACATATACTTTATTGCCCCCAGGGAAAACAGCAGATAATCTGCTAGATGCCACCCAATGAAATCAGCAAAATGAATACACAAATACAGCCTCTACCTACCTTGACAAAGGGGGAGCAGCGTTAAATGCTTCGCATGCCTTCTTACTTTCTTTGAAATACTCATCTGCTGCTTGCAAAGCAGCTACAGCCATCCCATGAAATTTTTCTGTGTTACCCTCATCAAGGATCAAACCATGATAGTAATATGCAGCAGCCTGGTTAAAATGGGAAGGTTAAAATTGGAAGAACTTTGGTTAGCTGTTCATAACACAAACTTCAATCGTAATTCGTAATTAAAATCAAATATTCAACATTAGCAGCGTAAGACCCCTCCAAATCAGCTAGATCAACTCGAAAGAATGAACTAAACTACATGGTTCTTCATGAATAGTTCAATATACTTTCATTTGGCAGTTACTCGTTCAGAAAAGACAATAGCATATCAGAACCTAGAACATAGGTATCAAAATCTGCATGCACGTAATCTAATACAAGGGAAGACAAACCGAATGAGCGAGTAATCACCAACGTAGAAAATACAAATGACCAACTTGATATCTTTTTTTAGATAAATGCAAGTGTGCTTTCTAGAGGAATCACTACAAGGCCACTATTTTCCCTCCATAAATAAAATATACATGTTAAATCACGCTTTTGGTTTCCTTATTACTCTCATAGACACTATCCTTATAGTGGGAGGTAAACTCATAAGTTTGGAAGGATAGTGGTAAGAGCATAAAAAAGACGAGCAGAAAGTGCAAGATACCTTTGCCTCAACATATTTCCACTTCACCCCAACCATTTAATAATGGAAGGTTCATAATGTTATCTTGAGCCTGTAAATAGATGGCATAAAGAAAGCAATATGCTTGAGGATCACCATGTGAGTCAACAAACATATAATGTGTTCGGTTGACAAGAGTAATCATGAGAAACATAGTGAACCACAAGAATTAACAACTTATATATGACATGTAACTGATATGAAATATATAGGAACTTCTCATAACTACTCCAAATAGAGAACAGCCAAAATTACTCAACGTCGGGAAAGGCAAAAGGAAAACCTAAGAATGTAGCCAAAATTATATATGACATGTAACTGATATGAAGTTAGCTTGTGATAATGATAGCATTGCCATTAAGTGCAAAATCAGGGGTTTCAAATTTTGAATTATATGTTCTGATCACTGAATGATATGTTCTGCAAAGAATAAAAAAACCTTGTTTGCATCAAATTATCTGCAAATAAAGTCATCAAAACAACTTAAAGAACATGTAAATTCTGAACAATTTCTATTTTGGTTTCAGATCAGGGTCCTAGCTACAAACAGAAGCAACTGTTTAGATTGAAACAGAAGGATGCCTGTAGTATAGTCCACACCTAATAATCATTAATTTCATGGAAAGTTGTTCCATGCAATGCAACTAGTTAGTTGTGATCATATGATAGTAGTAGAAAAATCCATCACTTAATAACCATTAATTTCCCAGAGCTAGTAATTATACAAGCTTTAACACAATACTAATCAGCTGCAAGAACGAAAGAAAGCAGTACATGTGATGAAGCAGCTAAACTAAAATAATTCCAACAAAAACACACAAAAATAACTAAAATTCGATTCAACACTAAAACCCCCAATTTAACCCTAAAATTCGATTTAACACTAAAACCTACAATTTCTATTTTAATTTTCCTAATTGAATCTAATTACAATACCAAAATCTTCAAATTAAGGCATTAGAAAGAATAAAAATACAGAATTAAGCAAAGATAAGTACTGGCTAGGTGCAGTCGAAAGGAAGGAAGGATGAGGAGGATGCTGGCTGGGTGGGTGCAGACGGGAGGAAGGAAGGATGAGGAGGAGGTTGGGTGGGTGGGTGCAGTCGGAGGAAGGAAGAGAGAGACGGAGTGAGAAAAAGGGACGAGTGAGACCGAGTAAGAGAGGGAAGAGAGACCGGCAAAATACATAATTAAGCAAAGATAAGTACTGGCTGAGTGCAGTCGAAAGGAAGGAAGGATGAGGAGGATGCTGGCTGGGTGGGTGCATACGGGAGGAAGGAAGGATGAGGAGGAGGCTGGATGGGTGGGTGGGTGCTGTCGGAGGAATGAAGAGAGAAACGGAGTGAGAGAGAGGCACGAGAGAGATCGAGTAAGAGAGGGAAGAGAGAGACCGGCAAAATTGGAATAATTTTTTAAAAAATCGCCTATTAACGAAAATATTGCCGTAAAAATTTTAATAGATTGCGCGACGTAGGTGTTGTTCATGGCGGAAATTTCCGTGGGGAATGCTTCCTGGCCGACGAGCACACAGCTTCCCGAGAGGTTGGCGTCGGTTGATGCTTTCTGTCGGGCTTCTGCTTTACTGGCGGGCTTGTCGGGCAAAGCCTGTCGGGCAAGGCTCGTCGGGCAAAGCTCGTCGGGCAAGGCTGAAAGAGAAGGACAGAGTTAACTTTGAAAGGTGCCTTTGTGGGGCCTTGAATGTAGACCTTGAGGCTCACAATCAAGATTAACTTTGAATTGCTCAGGCGTGCCACTACCATCTTCAGCATGGTAGATGTAGAACGGATGTTTGGGTTTTAGTTATATGTGTTCGAGAGCCTATGTTAGTTATTGACAGGTGCCTTTGTAGGGCCTTAGGTGTAGGCCTTGAGGCTTCTCGTCAGTAACTAACTTAGTATTCAAACACATAAGGTTCCTTTTGTGAGTTATATGGTTCTTATAACCATTATACTTCTGATTACCTGAGCTCAAAGAGCAGAATGGATCCAAATAGGTGCCTTTGTAGGGCCTTGAATAGGCCTTGAGGCTTCCCATCAGAACCCCTTCTATACTCAATGTTCTTGCCCGAGAAATAGGATGAATCCAAATAGGTGCCTTTGTGGGGCCTTGAATAGGCCTTGAGGCTTCCCATTAGAATTCATCATATCCCATACTCGAACGTTATATGGTCATCATAATATAACAGAAATAAAACTAAGTAGCAGGTCGATTACTTGCGCCCCAAGTAACTTCGGACTTCTTGTTATCAAAGCTTGTCGTGGATGGGTTAAGTCCACATCAAGTTCTTTTTTATGCCTTGAGGCCAAGGACTTTTAGAATGATCAAATCTTATATGCCCGAGGGCTTAGAACTTTGATCTGGTTTGAACTGTGAAGGCATATTCAAATCGGATTCAAATGTTGAGAGAGAGCCTTTTAATAGCCATATTACTAGAAATAACTTGGATATAACTTGAAGTATACAACATATTGCTAGGCTAATGAATGAAAAAGACAAAATCAAAGAAGGTCAGGCAAGGTTTAACCTTGTCGGGCAAGGCTGATCGTCTTGCAACTTCCTATCTTTGTGGGTTAATAGAAGGTTTGAAGGCTTAGGAAAGGGGTTGGGAAATGAGTTTGCAGAAAGAAAATCGATACTACAGTAGGTGTTGAACCGGGTAGCAGAGCTATTACAAAAGGTTTATCCCGAAAGGGATGAGGGCTTGGGCTGACTACAGCTTCGTTTTGAAGGTAAATCTGGCTTTGAGCAGAGTTTGTGCTTGTATTTGTTTGTTTTGAGTGTCTGTTTATTTTGAGTGTCCTTTCTCCTTTTATAGCCACCTTGGCTTGGCCTCCTATAGCAATAATCTTGCCCGAATGTAGTTTGAAGGATAGTGACTCATCAGCTATTTACTTGTACTGCCATTAAAAAGTACTTTTTGGGCTGATTAGCTGGCTGGTCTATACCACTTGACCATTGGGTAGGTGAGCAAGTAGTCTGCATGGCCTGCACCTAGTCAGAAACGGGCCTCTTTTGTCTTCTGGACTTTGCCTGGGTCTCTTCCTTTTAGGCTACTCTTTGGGCCAACCTCCCCCGAGCCCAAAGTTTCAGTTTTGATCCAAACAAAAACAGTGCCCCCTTCAATCAATATTTAGCCTAGAATTCCAGGCGCCAATATTAATTGAAAAGCTGCATGCGTATGCACCCTTGCTCTTGGAACTTGTAGCTTCTGGTGGAGATTAACGCCACCCGGAGTCTCTCGATCTTCCCATGACCCTTGAACTACCTTCCGATATTCCTATAAATTCTGATTCTCCCCATAAATCATCCTTGATCTGTTTCTACTTCCTTAGTTTTCTTCCAAAAACTGTGAAATGAGTTCTTCAGAGTTTAGGTGGGGTTTCTTAAAACTCCCTTTTCGTGAGAAAAATAGTTCTCATCAGATAACTACTATCTCCAACACCTTTGGTCAAACGCCCCGCTATCTCCAACATCCTTGGTTAGGCGGTTTCCTCACGAAGGCTTGCCTTCCTGCTTGCCGTCGTGATAAATCAGGCTTCACCATCACACATGGTGGTAACTTTGCCTGAGGATCCCCTACCAGGCGCGTTTTGGCCGCACAACCCGATCACCTGATCAGGTCCTATCCAGGGAGACATCGGAAAACCAGCTAAAAATAACATTGTAGAAGGAATCGAATGTAGTACTTTGGACTTGGATTAGTTTGTAAATATCACCAATTTGTCGAAATGAAATAAACATTATCTTAGCAACTTTTTGTTTTTTTCTATCTTCTTTTGAATGGTTGGTGATCATACACTGCACCTTGATACCCCAAAGTCGGCTTTACCTTGCATCCTCCTCAATGTAACAATCTCTAACATCCCATAATGTTGGACAATATTTTTTCAAGAATTTAACATTAATGGGATGTTTCTGCCAATTCCCTTCGAGGTCCGCCAAGTAGTACCCCCCTTTGTCTAATACTTGACTAACTATGAAAGGACCTTCCCACGTCGGGCTCCACTTTCCAAAGCCCCTAAGCTGGGCTCCAGGAGGAAGAATTGTTTTCCACACCAAATCTCCCTCCTTGTAAGATTTTGCTTTTACCCTTTTGTTATATGCTCGGGCAACAACCCTCTTTCCTTCCTGAATCTGGTTCAGAGCTTCAATTCGGGCTACACCTAAGTCTTCAATCCCTTGACACATGGCTTCGATGTATTCTTCGCTGTGTAGCCCAAACTGATTTTGAATTCTGACAGAACTTACATTGATCTCCATGGGAAGCAATGCATCTTGCCCGAAGGTTAGAGCATAAGGAGTTGTCCCTGTACCTGCCCTCTTGGAAGTTCTGTATGCCCATAACGTGTTTCCCAGCTTTTCATGCCATCTCTCCGGACTGTCCATCACCATTCTTTTGATAATGTTTACCAAAATCTTATTGCTGGATTCTGCTTGGCCATTTGATTGTGGGTAGTAAGGACTGGACTGGATCATCTTTATTTTGTATTTGCTTGCAAATTCTTCGACTTCTTTTGAAATAAAAGATGGCCCTCGATCCGTCACTATGGTTTCGAGCACCCCAAATCTATGCAGAATCTTGGTCTCGATAAAATGTTTAACCGCAGCTGAGGTTATGGTTTTCACCGTCGAGGCCTCTACCCACTTGGTAAAGTAATCTGTTGCTACAATGATAAAAGTGTGCCCCTAGCTAGAAGCCGGGTAAATCTGCATGATGAAGTCCATCGCCCATCCTCGGAAGGGCCAAGGCTTAACTACTGGATTCAAAGGTACTGATGGAACATGTTGGAGAGGTCCGTGTCTTTAACATTCCTCACATCCTCGGGCATAGGACTTGCAATTTTTTTCATGTCGGGCCAAAAATAACCATATCGCCTAAGCAACCACCTCATCTTTGTCCCTGCCTGATGTGCTCCACATACTCCTTCATGTACTTCGGCCATCACTCTCATGGACTCCTCTTGGCCTAAGCATTTCAATAATAACCCGTCTGGAGTCTTCCTTAGTAGGTCTTTCGCCCATAAGACATACTTAGTTGCTTGCTGTCTATTCTTCTTGCTGGTGGGTGAAGAGGGATCTTTCAAATGATGGATGATGGGCGATCTCCAATCTTCTATCTCAGCTTCCTGAACCATTATATCCAGGCTGAATCCCCTTTCCAGGATAGAAGGAAGATTTCTCCTTTGAATCTTGACATTCAACCCATATTTTCTTTCCTGTATTGGCATGTCTGAGGCCAATTGCGCCATCTCATTGGCTGCTAGGTTGGCTCCCCTGGGAACATGACTCACCGATATATCAGAATCCCAATAACTCAACAATTGTGTGGCCTCCAAATAGTATCCGGCCATGGTGATATGTCTGCACTTGAACTCCTCTTTTAGTTGGTTTATTACCAATTCTGAATCACCAAACACCTCAACTTCCATTGCTCCCAGATCCATCAAGATTTCCAAACCAATTATTAAGGCCTC